TAGCAAAGTAAGTATCATCTATATAAATTTATAATGTAAATGAGTTTTTGAATATTCCAAATACGATGATACCCAATATTTTAAATTAAAACTTAAATTCATTTTCAGAAAAGAGAACTGTAATAAGCTTGATTCATTTTGTGAATGGGTGACTGAAATGGATTCAAAAATAAGTACATGTAATGTTGTTCAATGTAATGCAATAGAAAACACATTAAAAAAACTTCACATGCTTATAGAGGAGCATATAGAAAATCAAGATGTTTTACTCACTATTACGAAAAACTTAGTTCAACCTGATGAAGTCATTCAACTAGACCAAACAACGGCTAAATTTAAAGTTTGTATTGGTTTTTATTTTATGTCAAATACTTTTAGTAGAGTAAAAATTATTTTTCAGAATCTTCAAGATATTTTGCACAAAAAAAAACTGGTGTTAGAAAAAATTAATGAATTCTTTAATTGGAATACAACTATTAAAGCCCAATTGGATCATTTGGAGTTTAAAATTGATAGTAATCAAGTAGTTGTCAACATATTCGAAGAAGTCAATGATAGTGTTAATGAATTAAAGCAATGGAGAAACAATTGGAATTCAATTGAAAACTTACTTAACCAAAGTAATACAACAGTTGCTGACTTATCCTTTGACGATTGTTTCAGATATTGTGAGGGAAAAATAAGCCAATTAAAGTAAATAAAATATAGTAACTATAATATATAACTATTAAAATTTAATTTAATTTAATTTTTTAGCGAAAAAATCAGGATTAAAGAAGAACATGAACAAAAAATTGAGCAATGTCAATCTGTTATAATAAATTTAAGTAAAAGTATAAACGATACAATTGATAAAGTAGAAAAAGACATAGTTGATCTATTGTTCTCCGTGAAACATTTCTCTGATATTCAATCTGTATTATCAAATTTACAAAATTTAATTGATATAAATTCATTAGATAATAGTTTAGAGAGTCTAGAAACTGAGATTAGATTGTTTATTGAATTAGATAAATCAAAATCAGCTGAAATTCAATGTAATATTGTAGAACCAAAAACTAAATTAAGTCAATTAAAATCTAAGTTAGTTAACATATTTAACAATTTATCTAAAATACTTGAAAATTGGCAAATTTGTTCATTAATAAGTGATAAACTCAAATCATCTCAAATAAATTGTAAGGAAGTTTTAAAATCTATTGATTATCCAAATGATGTTTCTGAAGCAAAATAC